TCCTTGGCTCTGTCTATCAAGAAGACCTAGGAGGATCAGCATCCCAGTAACAATGAGCACATGCAGTACCAAGATCTTGGTTTTAAATACCATTCTCCACTAAAAGGAACAGGGTTCCTTGGAGAAATGGCTGGGTCCAGGAAAGAAAAGCACTAAGTTGAGCCTGGAACATCTTTAGTACGGAAGTACTCAAAAATTGCTGGGATCATGTCAAAAGGGGACAGATGTGAGGTTGAAGTGGCAGAAGCCAGCCTGAAGTGGCTTCCATTAGCCAAATTTGGGCCAATTTGAACATCAAAATAAATAACAATAATAACCAATATAACCCATTGAATAAAACAGAAAATGAAAGTTTGAGAAGGAATAGGATATTTATATATCCCATATATATTTATAAATATAAATATTTATGTATTTATACAGTCTCAAAGTTCTTCTGCACAAATTATTAATTAGAAAGGAGAAGAGAGTGGAGAAGATTTGCAGATAACTCCTTCCTCAAGTAATTATAGTTAACATCACCATCGATGGTTCAAATCAAAATCAGGTGTCACCTGATAGAATACATATTGCATTACATCAGTGATATTCTTATCAAAGATACAAAACATGAATATAAACACAAGGAAAGATCAGAAAAAATGCAAAGTGAGAGACATTCTATAAACTAACTTCCCTGTAATCTTCAAAAGCGGCAAAGTAATGAAAGTCAAGGAAAGACTAAGGGACTGCCCAGATTGAAGACTAAAGAAACATAATGAAATGCAATGAATGATTCTGTACTGATCCTTTTGCTATAAAGGACATTACTGGGACAAATGGTAAAACTTGCATGTGGTCTAAGGATCAGATGGTAATAATGTTTCAATGTTAATTTCCTGATTTTGTTGGTTTTATTTTGAATATGTAAGAGGATGAAAAAACACTAACAGATGTAAAGCAGAGGTGTGCCAATATACCTTATGAAAGATTACTCTAGTAGTAGTATAGGACTATGGTCTCCAAATATTTTTGTTGATGTACCCCAATACTAAAAATATTTTAAATATGTACTTAGTATAAGTACATATGTGTGAAGTTATATCCTGTTCCATAGTACTAATATACTTTTTACATTATAAAAACACTCAGGCATAGAAGTTAAAATGTAACATTCATTTTTTAGAATTAAGTTGATTTAATTAGTCATCTTGTCTATCTCCTGGGGTGCAAACACTTGATTTTGGAGGCCTCTAGTGAAGAGAATGGGTAAAAGGGGAGATGAGTCTAGCAGATGTATTTAGATAGTTTCTGAAATGGGAGGAATTGATAGAATGAGGAAAAAGTGAGGCACTAAATCAAGGCGGCAGCAGCAGAGAAAAGAAGCAAAGAGAAGACTGGAGAAAGATTTAAGAAAGAAAACTTTTATAGGACTCAGGAAGTGATTTTCTTTATGGGACGAGGATGGGGAAGGCTTGAAGATGATTCCGGGTATTTGGCTTGGGTTAATGGATGGAAGTAGAGATGGAAGAAAAATAAGAGATGGGTGAGGTGGCGGAGGAAGAATAAAATACACTGCTTTTCCAGACTTACAGCATTCATTAGCAATAGTATTTTCACAACAAGTTAAAGAGCAGGAAAAAAACCCTAATGCATGGTGATAGGTAGCAATGAACTAGCTCCATTAATTATAAACACAGTACACTGTCTGGATAGCTGTTGCCTTTGTTAAATGTCTTAAAGCATAGCCTATGAGAGAGGTAGGTTTTGTGTGTGTGTTTCCATGTGTGTAGATTTGTGTCTCCGTGTGCACACATGTATATGTATATATCTGTGTCCATGTAATTGGTCATTTTTCATGAAACCTAAAGTGACTACCTAGGTTTATGAAGAACTGATAAGGCATAAGAAAGTCATTATGCCATACTTCATGGATTTGGAGAGAATAAAGTCATTCTACATACAAATATCAAATAATTATATTGTACCCTTTAAACTAATATAATGATCTATGTCAATTATATCTCAAAAAAAGTCATTCTACGTTCAGGTAAACTGTTATTAAATCGTGTTATTAAAACTAACTACACTTAGGTCTATTTTATCTTTCATGTGCTAAAATGGAAAATTATGGATTTAGGTATGATGAATCTTATTAGATTTTTGTGGAATTTGTATAAAAGTAACATGCAGATTAGTGATAGATTTTTGCTCTCATAAAGCCCACAGCAGAAAACCTATTACTTGAAAGACAAAGTCATGTACAAATGTACTATGCTGCTGAGAGCATACATGGTAAGATTTTAGAGTTTCCACTGGTATGCAGAAGTTGGAGACAATGTTAACAGTTAAATAATGTTTAAAGTGCAATGCATTTTCAAGCACATATCCAACTATATACCCTTACCTTCTATTATCTAAAATTCTAGGAAAAATAAATAATTTCTTGAGAGTCAAACTTTTATCACAAAAGTTAAGATTTCTTGAACTTAATCCTGATTACCACAGGGAAAGGAAGTTGGACACATATTTTACGGCTATAACAATTTTACATTCATTTCCCCCAACCTAAATTTATTGGTAACCGATTCACTTCCTTTCTCCTGGCAATAACTACTTCTATCTTAGCTTTTCAAATCATTAAAATGTATGAATACGGCAAATATACTCAGTATTAGCTAATAAATAACATGCCACCAAAGCAGAGGAAAATGAAGGATAAGCAAAGTATGTTAACTTTCATGCTGGGTTTCTTTTAGGCCTTGAGATGATACTAATTGTCTTGACTCAGATGTTAATAATATACTGCTTTCTTAATTTGAAAGCTTCTGCAGCAATTCACTGAATTACAAAACATGACATTATCTATCAATGCTTTCTTCTTGGGACTCAATACTAGCAAACATCTTTCAAAAGAAAATAGAAAATTTACTACCTGCTGGTCAGGAACGGAAGTCTTAAAGAAGTGAGCAAAAGAGAAGTGGCGCAACACAAATATTCAAGGGAATGAATTAAGTTGCCTTAACTTTCAGCTTAACTATTACATTAAATTTAATTTTTCATTGAAAAAAAGTAGAAGTATATAATATAATATAAATGTTGGTATGATAAAAATACAAATCCATTTCACTGATATAATCCTTACAGTCAACAGCTGTGACATTCCAAAAATTAGAAACCATATTTGGAGGAAATTTGGAAAATGTTGGTTGCTCGCATCTGGTAGTCAATCACAGGTCAAACAGAGTATAGCAAATACAATGCAAGTTTTCTAACAATGTGCCTTCCTAATGGATTTCCACTCAGAGTCCAAAGATCTATTCTCTGCTAGAGAGGGAAAAACAAAAACAAAAACATCTTACCCTCCTCAATGACCACAGGCACCTACTGCATTTACAAAATGTATAATGTACTCCTAAATATGTAAAATATGCCCCCTCGCATTTTCAATATTCATTAATGAAACTACTATATAACTTAACAAAGCCACTCTGCATTTAATGCAACGCTATATAGTTATAGTAGTATAGAGCCTTTGCAAAAGAATATATGCAACAAGGCATACTTACAAAAGGAAAGAAATCCTTTTTCAAAATTTGCTTTCCTAACTTGTTTGTCGAAGGTAGGAGGAAACCCCAAACAAAAAACACACTTAGAAAAATTATATTATACCACAAGACAACTACTGAAAATCAATCGTATGTCACTATTTTTTTTCATTTAAATACAATTTCTGGAAAGTATTTTTTAATTATGTAATAAAATCTTTTGATATTAAATATGCTCCTTCTTAAATCTGGGTCTTAGGAAAATGAATGGAAAATAATTCTTGATATTGTATAGTTTAAACGTTGGGCAAAAATGCTTGATTATGAAATAAAATGCATAGTGTATTCTATTTTAATAAGCAGTATACAAACGTAAAATTTTTAATAAATTTGGTTATTTAAAAAATTTTAAATAGTTTTTTTCTATAACCAAATGCTTTCTGCAGTTTTTGATAAATAAACTTTTACAAATGGCCTCTGTGATAAGCCGGTACAAATCATTTTAACTAACGATAAAAGGAATATTTTTGATTCCCTGATCAGACAGGAATTCAGTATTAATTTTAATTCACTCTAGGACAGACAAATGCACTTAAGTAGCATTTAAGAAAGATGGCTTGATGGTCACATTATAATAGACAGTTAATTTCCACTGTCTATTTAAGGAAGAACAATTTGATTAACACACAGCTAACCAGAATGCTTTAGTTCAAATATATTCAATATTTCTGTCAAATGAGTTAAAGCATCAGGAGTCTAGCTATTCACTCACACACTTAAAAACACACACACACACACACACACACACATCTTAAACTGTGGACCACCACAATTTAAGGTTATAATATTGGTATTCAAAAGACACAGTTTCAATAGTTTATTTGTGTAGATAAACTATTAAACAACCTTATTAGAAATTTTATCCTTTCTACTTAGCTAAAATAAATATCAAGAATTTTAGGATATAAAAACTAGTTTTCTCAAAGAACAGATCTTATAAAACACTCATAGTATACTTATATCTTAAGATGAGCCATTTACAAAATAAAATTGTATTTTATTGGTTATTCTGTTGGTTAACATTTATACATATACATATATATATACTTGTCAAAACAAATTTCTTTGACTCAAAGCAGAGTCATCCTGCTATCCCTAGATGCAGTAAGTTAGCAAAGGGTGACTTTTTTTGGCTCCGAGAACACTAATTAATACAGAGCAGTAATATAGGGAATATACAAAATAGCTAAATATTTCACACAGGAAATTTATATAATTTAGTACAGCTGTTTATTCCTTAATTTAAGGGCAATAAAATCATCATGGCAATATATATTTAAAGTTAATTAGACTAAAATGTTAGTCCTTCATATTTCAATTCTCTTTAAAGTTAGGAAGCTGATGGTATGGTATAGAAAAGCTATCAAAATGAAGGGAAATGGTACTTTCTGTTACAGGCTTTTTCGCCCTTACCTTAGAAGATGAAGAATCACACTCCTGACATATCCATCCATAGCCTGTTTGTTTAGGGGACTTTTTCAAAGGAGGATCCAAACAGCCAAAATGGTAGCACAGTCTGCATTCATCGCACCTGAAGGGTAAACAGATTTATGGTATATCTAAATAATATTAAAAAACAACTTTTTCAATGACAAATGGCAAACTATTGTACATCTCAACTTTAACACTGTTAATTCTATCCTTAGCTCACAAGATCATCAAATTAATGTTTACAACAATCTAAACCTGAAATAAATATTTTAGAACAACAAAATACAAGAAAATTAACAAACAAAACAAATATCATTCAGAACATTTTAACAGTAGAAATGTTAAGAGCATATGAACAAATGCGTGTGTATAGCCACATATGTTCAAAACCAACACACACAGAACAATATCAATTTGAACTTCAAGAATTAATCATTTGCCCATTAGATAGTTTAAAAACATTTAATAATATATATATCAAGATTATGAATTCAATCCAATACATTGTGATTATTTAAAAAATTTGAGAACTCTAAGGAATTCTATTAGGTTACACTAAGCTATAATCAACTCCACACAAATTATACCTCATCACTCTCTTTCTCCAAGTTAAGGTGGATTGTAAACAAACTTTCTAACGTTTATAGCATGCTAACACAATCTACAGCAAATAAAAACCATTCTAAGAATTTGATATTATTTTCTCAAATATAATTTTCTTAAACTTTACCTGTCACTTTCTCTCAGTATATTTGGTTTTTCAAAGTACCTCCTAGTACATTTTAAAGCTCATTAACAAATATTTTGATAGTGTCTTTGCCACCTATGACATACAAAATCTAAGAAAACTATCATACCTATTCTTCGTTTCAGACAATCTCATCCTGCTGACAATGAAGAAAGATCTGTATTATTTCAGTGTTTTGTAAAAAGAATTTTGCATCAGTTGGAATAACAAGACCAAATTTAACAACAAATAACAAAGATGTATACATCTTATGGAAAAGATTATATTTTCATTTTCTTTGTTGCTCTTTTTTTGAAGTTAAAAAAATAATACTGTCTCTAAACCCATCTGCCAGATTGTCTTTATATATCATTTCTCTTACTGATTTAAAACTTAAAAAGTTGAGAAATCCACAACTAAGAAACCAAGAGGAAAAATTTACAGGATATGTTACTTGAATAAAGTGTAAAATTACTATTCAATAACCATTTGTTAGAAAAAAAGGGGAAAGAGCTGTTGTTATAATTAACACACAAAGAAAAACAATTGATTTTCATAAACCATCACATAAAGGGGACTATAAATCTACATTTAGCATAAAAATTTCATATGATGCTATAAAACCCAATCGCCCAAAGACTCATTTTGGGAATCAAGAGTTTCAGAGAAGTTAGCAACTTAGCTAAGTTATTCGGGTATAAAGAAATCTAAAACACAATTATATGTCATAAGTTTACGCATTTCTTCCTCTATAACTTTCTCCCTATGAACCAAATAAACTTACGTATTCTTCCAAAACTCTTCCTTTAGACTCAAGATATCAACTTGAAAAAAAAAAGTTTACTATGATAATTCTAGCTATAGGAAAAAAAAAATAGGAATAACAGTACTTTATCTACTATGCCAGTATTATAAATAAACTATCCAAAAATATATTTAAAAGAAACTAAAATGTTCAAATACCTGTTGTTCTGGCGTCAAGAAAAAAATAATAGATAACATGTAGCTGACGTCAAATTTAACATAGAGACTAAAGGGCAAGCCCACACAATTCTATCTTCTTTCTTCTCTATTCAACTTATTTACCTTTCAACAGTTAAAATCTCAAATACATTAAACATACGGTTATTGGAATCTTCACAGTGTAAGTACTTCTGAGTTTATGAGAAGGTTAAGATTTCTAGATAGTTGAGGACATATTCTTTCAAGCATGAAAACCAATATTCCAATCATCTTTGATGGGAAATTTTAAAAGAATCACATTCTTTGCTTCATCAAGAAAATATATTAAATATCATTTAATCTATCTTTGTCATCTCAGGGTCATGCATACTTGCAACGGATGCTGCAAGGTGTCTAACACTGTGCCAGCCTTCTGTGTTTGCAGTGCGTGTCATTAGTCTGCTGTTCTGTTGAATTCTCGTATTCAACTTTTATAGGTTTCCAGGGTCCTCACTTATTTGCAACGTATCAGCCACTGCTTTCTGATATTGTCAGTAAATTTGTCTAAGCAGCATTTCTTCAACAATAATTTGTTGTGGATTCAGAAATCAGATCAACTAAACTTATTAAGACTATGCAAACTGACAGTGAAAAGACATGAAAATGAGAACTTCTACTGAGTTAAGTACATGGACTCAACTTTGCTTAACTATAGTCTTTCTTGCTTAACTTCAGGTTTTCAGGCAATGTGCCTTACAATTTAGATTGTCAACAATCTGGGCTCTTGATAGGTGAAGAGTTATGGGATTAATGTTTTCCTAGTTCATATCAAATCTCTGCATATTTACTTTATAACTCTGTGTCATAATAACTTGCAAATTATGATTTCTAGTGTATAACTTGAGTCAAACACCACGATGAATAGAAAATTGAATCATAATTCACGATTTTTCACACTCATGTGTGCAGGTGATTCCTGTTGGTATATCTATGTATTACCAGCGAATAAATTAAGAACAAGTTTGCTACACTGATATGGTTCTTATTTGTAGTTGATTTCAAGTACCTGTAAAATCAAGTTATCTTTCAGCTCAGGAATAAATGTAAAAGGGAAAAGAAAGGTTTTACATGCTAGATTTGTTAGAAGATAATGTTGAAATATGTGCCATTTGGAAATGATCTAATCCTTACTGACTCCTTTATTGGTGATACTTTCTGAAATGCCTTAGTCTACATGTGGAACTCTAATGTACTTGTGATGGGTCCTAGAGGAAAAGTAGAATTTGCTTGTCAGAATTAGGGGGTGACATGGGAGTTCTCTCAAGTTATAACTCACTCATCAGTAAATAAAAACTGCAATTTTCCAAGACTAAATAGCAAGGAGTAGTTAATACACTTAGGGACTAGAATATTGAATTGAAGAGATCTTTATGTGCTGGTGACAAAAATATCCTGAATAATACAAGTGAGCTCAAGCAGAATTTGCAAGAATTAATATACTGTTGTCAAATGTAAGAGATACCATTAAGAATCCTAGAAATCGAAGAACAACGTAGATGGTAAAAATAGTGGATTACTTATTTCATGCACACACACAATTTTGTAAATTTTAGCAAATTGTGTCAGCCAACAAATTCTGGCTATGTTACAAATTTAGATCATTTTAAAAATTCAAAAATCAGAAACTCATAAGGGTCTGCAATCATTCTGCTACCTATAAGCTGAAACAGAGTTGAAGTAGTTATTGATGAAATTATTATTTATGGTCTCTAGCTGTACTTCTAACATATACTTGGAAACACACAACTGCAGCACATAATGCAGTACATATTTAATTTGCCAAAATAGTGAAGAAAATGTTTGAAAAATCTTTTGCAAAAGCAGTCATTGACCCACAAAATCACAATGATATAACACAATATACTTTATTAAATAACACAAATATCTAGGTAATAAAAACAGACTATTATACCAATAGCACATATATTAAATAGGAAGACATTGTCTTAAAATAGTAAAAGAGAATATAAAACTCACCTATAAGTAAACACTATGAACTTTGTAAATAAAATGCAAACTGGATGCTTAAAGAAGTATCCTTTAAACATCTAATACTGTACACATCAACACTATAGGACATTCTAAAATTACAGTTTTAAAAGAGATAAAATGAATCCCATTTATAAGATAAAAGGAAACCTGATGGTTCAATTAGATTCTTACTAAGTACAACTTCCTAGGCATCAGATTCATAATAGATAGAGATATAAATAATAAAGAAGGTATATACGTATGTGGTCTTTCACACATTGATTTAACAAAATGCAGGGACCAAATAAACATAGTTCTATGGGTATTTAAAATACTTACTTAGCATATGGTTAAGTATAGCACCCTAGACAAAGAAGAGGAAGAAAATGATTTATGTTCATATGTCCTATGATCCATAAAACAAGCAGTCATGTGTTTACCTCATTACTGAGAATATGCATACATGTAAAAAGAAATAACTGATTTACTTCCACCTGTGCCTAAGAGACAGGCTAAAAGCCGGTGTTACAAAGGGTTTCTTTAAATCCCTTAATTTCCAATTGATAATTTCACCAGGAGAGTACACTAAATAACTACTTTTTAAACTACCCAAAGCAATTAAGTGTACCTTCTATGCATACAATTTATAGCCAGAAGATAAGCTAAACTTCAGAAAGAAGAGAAATTCATAACATAGGACTTGAAAAGGGATGTACATTTTTTTATGATCAAGTTGATCCATATCATAGCTATTTTTTATGTCAATGGAACATTTTATTTAGATCCCTTCCAAGTCTATATAGAGTAAAATAAAGAACTGACTCTGAAAATACATTCTATTACATTGGTTCATGTAAAAAAACCCCTAAATATCAAGAATATTGATGGGTTGGATTTTCTTATTATTTCATCTCTATAAAATTTCTATACAAGACACATCAAAAGAATTGGTCTTGAATACTAACATTACTTAAATAAAATTTCACTAACAGCTTAAACACCAACACAAATCTACTAACTGGTAGTGATAGATTATTTCATTGAACAGTGGCCAATTATTTCAATTACTCATTTAACAGATTGAGAAAACACAGGACTATGGCCCATGAGTTAAGCACTTTTAAAATAATACAAGCTTGCACAAAATTATGCATTCTATCAATATTAGAATAACATTTAATATCAATAAAGACATACTTTGTTCCTCATATTTTACAATTTTAGTGCAAACCACCTATACAACCATTTTCTAAATGAAATAATTAGAAAATGTCTTTTATATTGTATTCCACAAATATAAGACTAACGTGAAAGTTTTGAACATGTTTTCATTAATGCCACTATAGACTTTTATCACAGGCAATAATGAACGAATGAATGAGTGGTAAGAAAGTAAAAAA